GTCTAGAAATGGTAATTCACCGAAGTCTGATTCTGCTTGCGAAGTAAACTGGATTCTGGGAGATACACAGTTTATTTTCTCCAGGAATGAACTGTGTAGATCTCGTTTTAGCACTACGAAATTATCATCTACAGATCTTAACCGTGTTTTAGGATTGAGCATGCTTGAAAAGATGTTATCTTCGAATCTATGCATGGAAAAGTCAGCGACTATTGGGGAGACTTGTGAACCCATAGCAACACCACTTGTCTATCTACATAAACTCCCTTTAAATGTAAAATAATTATTTTCTAGACAGAATCTGAAGCTCTTAATTATTTCAGTGGTGTCCAGTGGACATCTTTGTGGTAGTGTTGTATCTGATTCTAGTAGACTTAGTTTAAACTTCACTATTTACTACTTACTGTTTTACCACTGTCATAGGACGTATGTCATATCTCAAATGTCCTCTACACCAACATGAAACTTAATTACACTTCGTCAGTATTATGTTAAATTATTTTATCACTGTCTGAATCGAATTTGCAGTATTATTTATCACCTTAATAACTATTTGTACTTTTCTCTGTGGTAATCGATCAGGTCACAATTCTAGTTCAACACTCAAAAACTGAAGGACAAAACTACAAGGGATGCCTTCACTACAAATGAGATGTGAGCAAAGTGAAAGACATTACGTGGTATCACCGGGAAAACCTACGTGGAAGAACACTGGAACTTTATGAAGGCGATATTCAAGGAAACGTGTACAACTGTTCGAGGAAGAAAGAAAGGACAAGACAAGAAATAGCTCCTAACGGCTACCTGGAAGCTAATAGAAGAGAGGAGAGGAGGATGGGGAAAGAGAAGATGACCTAATGCAAATATGGACAACAGAAGGAGAAGCTAACTCCAGTGTACACTGAACTAAGTCAAGAAAGACGTGAAGAAGAGTGCTAGGAAAGACAAAAAACAGTTCTACGACACACTGGCCGGCAATTGGGGTAGAACAGGCCAGACGCAGGCCATTAGATCAGATAACTAGGTGTCTACACGGGAAGAGACCAGCCCAGATGGTGAAACCAATAGAAGTTGGTCAAGGGAACCTGATTACCAAGGAGAAGAGACAAATAGAACAATGAGGTGATCACTTCAAAGGACTCTTGAGTTGACCATCACATGCAACTCACCCAGAAATACCACCACCACCAACACACATACACAACTGCATTCCAGTGGACGCCAATCCTCCAACGAGAGCAGAAATTCTGAATGCTACCAAGGTATTGAAGTCCGAAAGGGAAGGTGACAGGGTCAAATGGAAGTCCCACGCCCCGAAGCACTGAAAACGGACCCAGAGACTGCGGCAGATGTGCTCACACCATTATTGCAAAAGGTATGGATGGGAGGAAAGCAGCCTACTGATTGGAAGAAATGTAATGCAGACCTTCATCAATCTGAAATAAGTTTGGAAATCTTCTGTACTAACTCAGTCAGTATAAATAACAAGGCTCGGATTTTCAACACAAATGTTAAGTGAGTCAGTCAGTTCTCCCATACGGGTCAGAAACTTGTAACGACAGAAGACAAGGGCCAGGCAACAGATCGTTTATTGAGAAAATCAAGAGGTATTCATAAATTTTTATGTACATTATTATTAGCGTTATTGTTAGCAGAGAAGCAACCTCTTCTGATTGGTTGTTTACTTGTAGAAGTTTATTCTGTTATCCCTTTGTGTCCGTTTCTCAGAAAATCAAGCCAAACTTGTCTGTAGGATCAAGTGTTCGAAATGTGATGCTAGCCATGTAGGGGAGAGCAGTAGATAGGTGAAGAAAGGTCAGACTGAATAAACACAGGCTGTGCACGAAATGTCCACCTAGAAATAAAGTAGAATTAACGAGTCTATTGCAATGCATCCTATAGAGAACGAACATAAGATCGATTTCGACAATGTCGAAATTGATATAAGAATAAAACTTGTGCACTGTGGTAGAGTGTAATTCCATTATGGGTAAATTTTGTTTTGATAAAGTCTCACAGTGTTATACAGTAATGTTTACTGATGACGTTTCGAGCACAATTTATTGCTCATAATCATATCAAGGTGATCACATAACTTCCTAAATTCATTTATATAGTTCCATTGTTTTTCACTTGATTTGATTGGTAGTATTATTTTCCATATTTCGGGTATGAGTGATGAATCATTTCTATTGCATGTGTTGGGTGTAGATTCGATGAACAAAGATTCAGTAATCAACCTCTCTCCCCAACTATTTAGATTACTTTTTAGAATTTTAACCCTATCCCACCCTATTGTGTGGTTGTGTGCTAATGCATGTATTGCAATTGCTGAGCTTTTTTCTAAATTACTTATCTTCCCTGGGTCAACCATTTTTAAATTCTTATGTCATATTGTCAGAACATAAGAATTTAGCTAAGGTGAGGTAAGCTTCGCAAAGTAACTATCCAGCTCAGAAAACACAACCACATCAAAAACACTTTCTTTTCGACGACACTGTAACATTCTTTTAGGTCTACCTATATAGGTGTCACCGCAGCTGCAGCTAAACTTGTAGATTCAGTTTGAAGTAGAGTCCACAGAATTTCGACCTTTAATCGTAGGCACAGAGATCAAAAATGTTCGGTAAGTGAGAAAAAGAGATGCAGTGTAGAATGTGCGTTTAATGGCTAACCGAAGTCTTTGAGCTGTCAACTGCATAATCCGGTCACCCTTGAATGGTAGGTTAATAAAGATAGCTTTCTTTGGTACAGAAGCTGTCTTTTCGAGATGTGGTCTTTCTTTACTGTGACAAGTGATAAAGTTCTCCGAATAACCATTAGCTACTAAAACTGAATGTATACATCGAAACTCATCCATCACTGTGTCACTCGTGCATATTTTTCTGGTCCTTGAGAACAAACATTTCACTAGGGAACGTTTATGCTGGATAGGAACAAAACTGGTGAAATGAAGATACTGTCCACTCCATATCTGTTTACGAAAAATAGATCGCTGAATCGTACCATCATTTCTGCTAGTCATAGTAATATCGAGGAAACCGAGTTTGTTATTCGATTCGAGTTCGGAAGTCACTCGGATATTTGGATGAATATGATTAAATAGGGTAATAAAGTTTTCAATAGATTTACTATTATTGCCAATAATGAGAGTATCATCTACATAACGTTTAAAAAGCATAAATTCTCCAAGCATACCTTGCATCTGTTTTTCCAATTTCGACATGAATATATCTGCTAACAGGGGCTCAAGAGGGTTCCTCATCGCAATACCATCGATTTGTTTGTATGCCATTTTCTTGGAAGGTGAATCTAATATTTTCTGTACAAATTAAGATGATATCTCTGATGCAAGTGACAGGAATAGGTAAATTTATCCCACTGCTTGTGATGTAATCGCGAATGAAATCAACAGTTTTATGGATAGGAATATTGGTGAATAAAGATTCTATGTCAATGGAACACATAACCTTTTCCTCAATGTTCAAAGTGTTTACCATATCTGTCAGATCAAATGAACTTTTTACAGAATGATTTGATAATGAGTCTCTTACAGGAGTAAGAACCTCTATAATCCATTTTACGATTTTATGGTATGAAGAACTCGACATGTCTAAGATGGGTCCCAGTGGGTTCCCAGTTTGTGGATCTTCGGAAGGCCATAAAGCCGTGGAGTATGTGACCCAATTGGTTTAAGTTGTTTATAAAGTTTTTCATCTATAAAACCATGCATCAGTAAAATCTGAAGCTGACGATTGATCTGCTTTTCCACAAGCAGCACATTATCAGTAGCATTGTCCACCAGAAATTTGAACTGATCTTTGAGGATATCATTCATTTTATTTTGATAATCCGATTTATTCATTATGACAACTCCTTCTCTTTTATCAGGTTTAAGGATAATAAGATCATCATTTTCGATTAATTCCTTAAGTGCGGCGTGGTGTTCTTTTGATAAACCATTTTTCTGGTGTATTCTAGCAATTTAACTTTAAACCAGTCCAGATTATCTTTACTGGAAGGAATTAAATCAGAGATTTGATCAGAATGTACTTTTGTTTTTTATTTAATTGAGTAATTGTCATGAACTTTATTTTATTTTATTATTGTCAGCCATGTTAGTTGTAAAGCGGTTGTAAAGAGACTACGAAATGAAGAAATCATCTCGTGAAATTTGTCTTATAAATGCCTTATACAAATAAAAATGTCAAAGTCACCGTGACTTTAAACATACAATCAGAATTCATATTCGAAAAACTAGCGTAATCCTGAAAAAACGTATTGGAAAACATTGCAAACATGATATTACACTGATAAAGTGTCTCTTATGTGTTCTAAGAGTGTCTTCCGGTTACTCCGAGAATAATCCATAGAGAAATCACATAACATGCTCGATAAATACATTCATCCAAGTGACTGTCTACACTTCTTTGGGTCTCATTGACATTCCTGACTCTGTTCTTTAACCTACCTCTATCCCTACCTGGCAGTTTAGTTTCACGGAGAAAAGTACCTAGGGAATAAGTAAAATACTGTATCTACCTTCACCGAATTGATAAGGACATGCCCTGCAGGCATAATTTGATTTGAAATGATATTCCATAGAGTCCCCTAAGTCTAATAGTTTCTTTTCAAGATCAGCTTTCCGCAGGCCTTGACTCCACCACATTTAATATATTAACGAAATAGTATTGAAAAGTAAATAAATATTTTTTTTATTCCTGTATTTATATATATAAATAACAGTAATAATAATAATTCTTATTATTCAAATAAAAGAGAAAATAAATAAAGTTGAAAAAGAAACACACCATAATTATACACAACTTTAAAACTATTAGTTAATACTGAAAAAGTATCCACTTAAATTGGGAATTGTCAATTCTCACCTATTCTCTTTTTCACTTCTTTTGACTTACATTCCTAAATAAGTGTTCAATTGACGCACACATACACACACACACAAAAACTAACCAGTCAACGTTTTTAGAACACTCAATCCCCTAAAAACATTTCTGAAATATATATATGTATATATAAAATTTATCCAAAATATGCAAACTTCAATAGACCTCAGATTGCTTCAATGTCCAATATTCACTAACTGTTGATGAATATAATTTAAATCCATGTGTAAACATAAATACAATGAAATGTTTCCCACAATTCTGTTTTTCTTTTTGGAGGAACAAAACAAAACCGAAGGTATTGTTGAAACAATTGAACAACTGTTTTTAAAACGATCCAATGAAAAAATATTCCATGAGTTGTTTAAATGTGTAATTCTTCAAGGTCAGAGTCATCATTTATCTGTGATACCGGTGTTTTTGATAAATTTAGTTTTTGATTATTATTATTACTATTATTACTACTTTTTGATTGAATAAAAGTGAATGAATTTGGTTTTTTAATCTCATTTGATTCATTGCTGCGTTTATTTGATGGTGTTAACCATGATGGTTTTTTAACAGTAAAAGATCGAGTATGTTTGTTATTATTTAAATTACTATCATTCATAGTTTGCTTATCATTGTTTATATTAGTATTAGTATTGAATGAGTTCAATTTGTTTAAATTATTCATTGGTGGATTGCTATTAGTTTTCGAGGATGAATTAACCATCCACTGAAAATAAAATAAGGAAATGAACGAGTAAAAGAAAAATTAAAAATTCATTTAAGAATGAATAAATAAATATTTTTAATTTGTCATTAGATTTCAAGAAATTTCAAGACAGAATTTGGGACAGATAGACGTCAGTTGGAGACTAGACAGTGGTTAAATCCTAGTTAGGAACAATGCAGTAGTACATAACTGTGACTCCAAAAGACATCAAAACCTCCGTCTTCTTTGTGTTTACCTGGAGTCCTGTCTTCACCACCACCAACAACAACAACCAGCACCAATCACCATCATTGGGAGAGATCTGATAGAGGTTACTGCCTGCCTTCACTTATCTGGCCAGGAGGTACAGTTTAAACCATAGGCCGGCGGAACGGATAAAAATGTCAGAGCCAGTCAGAATCGGAAAGGCTAAATGCGACTTCATCAACCTGAAACAAGTTTGAAATCTTCTGCACTCAGCCAGTATAAACAATAAGATTCGGATTTTCAGCACAAATGTTAAGCCAGTCAGTCAGTTCTTCTATACGGGTCAGAAACTTTCACTGCGTGTCACGAAAAGCATTTCCAACAGGCCACTGCAGAATTTTATCAACAGCTATCTTCGCTGGCTCTACACTGAAGATCAAATGGCCGGCAAACCAGAAAGAATTAGCAACAAACCAAGAAATATGCAGAAAAAATTGGAGATGGATTTGGCACACTTTGAGGAGGCCGTCCAATGACATCGCGCGTAATGCAGACTACCGCTCCAGTGGAATTCCAGTAGGAAGCGACGGCTGGCTCGTCAGTGCGAGGGTGATATGGAGGAGATCGTTCGAGGAGGAAGAGATGAGAGATTATGGGGAATCGTGGACCCAGCTAAAGATGATGGCAGAAAACAGAAGAAAGTGGAAATGTGTTGTTGAAGGCCTATGTCCCACTTGGAATCCAAGGGAATAATAAGAATAACTGGTTTTATTAAATATTATGGATTGCCAGCGGCTGACGAGAACCAATAGAATATAGTGGATCCATAGTTTTCTTTAGAAGTGTATTTGCTCTATTTTTATTCACATTTATAAAGGCGAATTCCTGTAACTCCCTGAAAACCAATTCCTCTCTAACCGACATTGTTTCATGACAAAGTTTACATTTGAACTAATCCGAATCCATAGAAAAAAAAACCCCAATTCTGAACATTCTCAAGTCATTGAGCGTCTTTAAAAGGATTTTTAAACAGTTTTACATCAAGAAAAATATCAAGCCAATTTTTTGTTTAAAAAATGTTTCTTACTTCAACATCAGCACCATCTGAGTGTTTTTTCGGTCCAAATAAATCATTCCAAAGTTCTTGTTCTCTTGCTTTCCCAAAACTTTTATTATTCCAAATCATTTTGTTTTTGGCAATATTGTTCAATTGAGTTTAAATTTCAAAAAAGAAACAAAAGGATATAAATACTCGCATAAAAAATTTTACAGATCGATAAAAGGTGATCTAGTTTAGTTATTTTATGAGTTAAGATATGTAGGCCTTCTTATATTATATTCATGAGAAATGTAACCTGATGTCGTCTACCGTGATATTGAAACGTCCACAGATTAGAATTCAACTAAAATCAATTCATGGTTAAGTAGTCTAGACGACTATACTCAATTATTTCATACAATGAGTGTCATTCACATACTAATGAACTAATATTATCTATTTGTTAAACATGCTGATGAGTATTGATGTTGATAAACTGTCCAGTCCATGTTGGTTTGAGATATATCGATCTTTGGATCGTACAATCTTGTCTTCTGGTAAGTAGTACATCTAGTAATGGAAATGTCAAGTTCGATTCACGTTCTCAGGTGAACTTTATTGATGGGTGTGCTGCGTTGGAGGTTTTGAGGAGATACTCTAAATCAAATTCTCGTCACAAATTATGAGCATGTGTAACGACAGGAGACAAGGGCCAGGCAACAGATCAATTTATTTACGAAATCAACACATATTTATATATTTTCATCGGCAAACAAACACAGTCTTCTGATTGGTGGCTTCTCGCTGAACGTTAATCTTTCATCTCTTTGTTGCTGTTTCTTGAAGTTCAGATTATCTATCTGCAAATTGTATCCGCCTACGCAAAGTCTGCTGTGATTGGTTGTTGAGTCAGTCTTTGTTCTTACTTTTCTGATGACCAATATTGGGGACGTAAACATTGACGTAAATTACTATCTACCAATTTGGCTAGCAGCCAGCTCTCACCACCACTGTCATTTACGTATCTCCTGTATAAGTGCAACTGGATTATCAAAGGATCGAGGATGTTGTTTTCGAGACTCGGCACGAAGCAGTCAGGTAGGAGTGGACAAAAGAGTAGACGCTATAGCTACACCATGTTTCTGTAGTCAGAGTTACACTACGTTTTATTTTATGCCAATGTTGTACATTCTTGTAGACGTGAATATCTCTTAGTAATTTTTTCAATAATTTAATAATTCCCATTGTAGCATTAAGAACATAATATTAAGCGAAGAGACTCTTTCCAGCGAAATTATTATCAAGCTGTACAATCAATCGTATATATATGGTTTTTAAGAAATTATATCCGGTGAGGGAATTAGGTCAAAGGTGTGAATACATGAAGTAATAATAATAGTATGAAATGCAATTAAAATGTTTGTGATTATAATCATAGTTAAATGTCAAGTGGTAAAACAATCAATGTCATACATAAAATAATACGCCTCCAAAGCCTCAGGATGGTCGGGGGTGGGTGCCTTGCGCTGCGGGTTGGCCACCCCTCCGCACACCTCTTGAAATGCTCCCATATGACCGGGCGTCTTATATAGTCTCTCCTGAGGAAGTCCTACTCACTGCCTTCACGTGGCGGAGGTGTTTTTTCACCAAAGTGAGAGGGCGAAAGCGGATGCCCGGCGCTCTTCACCGGGTTGATTGTCTATTGGATGACAGTCTAGGAGAGATGGCTAAACCCTGATTCCAAACCTCCAACGACTGGCGTATGAAGCTCACTGGAGCTCACCGGCAGACGTATGAACAAAGGGTTTGTTGGATGTCCTGGATGTCTGGCCCCATTCAAAAAGGCGTATGAACCGAACTCCGGTCACCGGCTGCCAATGGATAATGGACTCCCTACTCCACTCCTACTGTCTTGTAGGTCACACTTGGTTGTGTAAAGGCTAGAGCTGCACTCTCAAACAAAAGGCCGAGCGATTCTGGGCCATCACTCGTACCAAATTCCTATGAAACTTCATGAACTCTCAGTACAGTCAAGGCTGATATGGAGTGCCTTGGGCTACAAACCGTCTACGGACTCCGTCTGTGGAACAAGAATTGGATAACCCTGTCGCAAAACCTTGCATCAGATCGCCGCGCCTGGGCAGCGATGATTCGAGGTGTTCATGAAGCCGGCTCATCGTCCCGTAGGAGATAGCCGAAGTAAAGTAAAAAAGGTAAGTATAAAATAATACATAAGGTGTATAGATTTTGGAAAGGGGTACATAATTATAGGATTAGTAGACGAATATAAAATGTTACATAACATGGTGTGAAATTCGATAAGATAGAATTCAATATTGTAAAAATCCTAGTAATTTCGCAGGTATTGGGAAAGTATTTTGTTAATTTCCTTCAGATATTATCCATATAAAAAGTATTCAAATCTGCATGTTTATTGATCAACTTTTAAATTTAAAGAGTCCTTTTGAGACTAAGATGTAATGGCTGGAAACTGTTGGTGATACGACTTATAATCACTCTCATTAGCACAGCTCTATTAAATTCTGATTATTCTACATACAAAGGTTGTTTCTCCCATAAACTATTGATTATTGTATTCCCTTTGCATCCCATTTCCCCCCACTCCTAACTTTATGTGCGTACATTTTAAGAAGTATTAGAACTCGAACTCTTAAACTTTTGTGGAAATTTTAACATTAAAAACTCAGTTTAGTTCAGTTGTTTGAGGGAAACTTGGCAATCTGACTACGCCTAGCTGCTTTTTCTAGAGTTTTAATATTTAACTGAACATTAGTTATGGGGGAAGTTAGTGACTCAGTATGTGTAACAGATGTACTGGTCACCTCAGTCGATGCCGCTTTACAACCACGTCTATCCACTAGACATAAATTTATCTACACAAGTCTCAGAGATATCAGGCGATGAAGATTTATCACTGTCAACTGATTTTTTCACCCTACCTGAGACGTTGCTTTCAACTGTCAGATTGATTATTCAGTAATTTTAAGTGGAAATTCCCTGTGGATGACTTTTGCCCTCATGATCGCCAGGACGATAGCCAAACTGTTTTTATGGAAGTGTGTGTGTGATCATCACTTCCTGACTGACTAGACAACACCAGCTGACGTCTTCTTAAAATTTCTGAAACAGATAGAGCATCATTACTGTTGTCTATTCGCAGATCACAGGAGATAACTGCATGAAACCGGTCCCACACAGTCTGTTTGATATGGGTTTTAGGGTTATACCCATATGAAGACGTCACTGCCGGCTACCAAATGCCGAAAGATATGCCATGATGTACAATTTCGGGAGATGACTTTTTCTAACCCCTACTCTTAAAGAGTTACTACCCTTCATCATCCCAGTAAAGTGACAGTTGGTAGACAGTTGAAGTAGTAATTCGGAGACCAGTGTTTCTGATCTTACTGAACCGCAGAATTTTACTTCACCTTCAGTTATCAAACACATTATTCGAATCACAGTCTATAATAACCAAATATCAAGTACCTCAGTCGAAACGCAGGCGATTAAACTTTGCGTTGATCTGTATAGCTTGCAAAACTTGCGAAAGCGGTGTAAAATTCACATTCATATTCTAACAGTGTTAAAAGCACACTTTAATGTAATAGAATCTGTGGTATTTTCAGAAAATATCGACTTGATTGCGCTTGGTAGGGTCTGTCATACTCTATTGAACAATAACAGTTCATATCAGAAATACAAAAATACCTCAACCATACCGTTCGATAGCTAAGCAATTTGAAAGTTTCTCAAGTACATAATACGCGTGACCAAACATCATCTTAAACTACCTAAAAATCAGTAAGAATCCTTCTAAGAAGGTCGTATCAAAACTCTGTTTGCAAGAATACAAAAAATACGTGTCCTGCAAACAGTCTAGGACCAGAAAGTCACTTCACAGTATAACCTTGACTTAACACAAATAAAATTGCCGTTGTAAAACAACACTGTCAAATAACAGCACAGGAAGGCATTAAAACTGTGAAGTAACCAAATACCAAAACCGAATTAGAGTATCAAAGCAAATGGAGATGTATATAAATGTTACGTCGACGATATGAAGTTTTGGGGGGAACAAGGAATAATAATCACAAAATTTCCATGAAGAAAGGAAGACGAAATTTACAGTATAAAATGATGCCATCATTCTATTTCACAGGTTCTCATCAGCTGCCGTAGACTACCTGAAATTACAATGGTTATATGGATGATAATAACATACTTTAATGTTTAAGTGGTAGTAGAGAAGAGATACTAAAAAACTGACGCATCCAAAATGAAAGCATTACAATTTTTAGTTTAAGTTTTCATCATCAATTTATACGCTTTCAAAGTTGAAAAGAGAGGGGAGGGGTAAGACAAAAAACAGAAAAAATTAATTAACAGAACAGTGTTAGCTTGTAGGTTCACATAGCAACTCAAAAAAACAAAAGCGGTTACAGTTTATGAGATTAAGATTTGTTCAGTGAGTTGAGATCACTGAATTAGATGACTAATTAATGCAATCAAAATTCAGTTACCAAGGCAGTGAGAGATTAATCACACTCTCTTTTTGTATGCATAAGTCTGGTTGGTTTGAGTCGTTTGACTGCGATCGCTTCAGTGAATCATAGTAAATTTACTGTCCTTTGTCTATTTAATATTTTGAAGGACTTAGAAATCTCTACGAGATGTCCGGTATCAACAATATGTCTGGTAATTGCACTCTGAGAATATTTGCTTCCTTTCAGGCACAGGTTTATTGGAATATGTTTTACTTAAACTTAAGCTAAACATTTTAATGCTCACACTTTGAATGCGTTAATTTTATAGCATTTCTTCTCTGCTACCACTCAAAAATTAAAGTATGTTATTATCATCTATATAACCATTGTAATTTCAGGTAGTCTACGGTAGCTGATGAGAACCTGTGAAATAGAATGATGGCGATATCATTTTATACTGCAAATTTCGTCTTCCTTTCTTTATCGAAATTTATCAAGGGAACCAATTGTATGAAATCACAAAATTAATTGAATTATTCAAATAACCATCCGTATCGAAAGAAGATTGTTCATGGAGGGATTTTTAGTCAAATACTTTGATTGGTCACTAGTTAGTAACTAATGTAATAATGTGTTTAGGCCTTTGTTTGGTGCAGACTGAATTCTATCGTCAGTCAAGTTTGCAATGCTGCCACCATTCTAAATGGCTCGCCATTACGGTGTACCCAGAATTCTGAGTATTAAATGGTTGGAGGTAATCGGCAAGAAGCCTTGACTAAACCTTGGTTTCATGCTAGTTGGCACTCACTCACCAGTCAGTAAGACGTGTCTGCAACCTTGAAGGAACTCATGCACCTTTTGAGATTTATATCCATGTCACACAGTGCTACAGTCAGAGACGTTACCACTTAGCTATTCTCATCGAACACAGGACTAGACACATTACACCAGTTACTGACCAGTGTTTAATCAAAAATATCCAATACAGTCCTACAGGAGGTCAATCACGAGCCTGGATAGCTAAAAGAATACCGTCTCTGACTACAGAGCTGGGTGATGTGGTTTCGAATCTCAAAAGGGATATGAATTCCTTCAAGGATGCAGAGTTGCCTTGCTGACTAATGAGTGCCAACCAGCATGAAATCTAGGGTCTAGTCAAGGCTTCCTGCCGATTGCCTCTAACCGTCTAATGTCAGAATTTTCAGATCCAGACCTCAGCTACACAATCTACTAATTCAGTAGTATATCAGACAGCTGCACCATTCATTAACAACCTATTCCCCCCTCTCTCTAATTCAGTATGGATAAGATTGATATGAGATCTAACTAGGCAACCAGTGTAATGAGATGATGGTTCGGGTAAACAGTTCCCTCTCATGTTTTAACCAGGGAGAGAAATCGCTTGACTAGTACATTCATTTTTGCATTTTAGAAAGCCAAAAGCCAATGAAATAAATCAATTCAAAATACATTTTCGAATAATTTACTCACGTATTTTTTATTAAATCATCCTTTTCATTCGATACCACCTGTTGAGGTGATGTTGAAAATAAATTTAACTTTTGATTTTGTTTAGTTTTCTCCTCTTTCTCAACTTGTTGTAGAGTTTGTAAAAGACGAAGTTTCTGTTGTGTTTCCCCATTGTCATCGTCTCCATCACAGTTGTGGTTGATGTCGACATTCTTTTTCGTTGAGTTCTCCTTCATCTTCGTATTTTGCTTCATCCCCACTGTCTTGTCAACTTCTTGTATTCCGCTTTTATCTTTTTTAGTTTTTAAATTATAATCATTTTCAGAGAATTCATATTTTTCAGATTTTAAATTTACAGGGATTGGTTTGAATATTTCATCTTCATGAAATGATTTACATGTCTGAAGTATTGGTGTATCATTCTGATTCGTCATCAGCGAAGTATATTCATGTACTGCCGCTGGTAGGGATTGTTCTTGATTTGGTTGTTTTATTTCAATCCTATTTAATGGTTTACTAGAAGTGGAAAGTTAAAATTTAAATAAAACTAAAGATGAATTAACCAACCAACTGTATATACAAATTCACATGTATCTGCGGGAGCAGTTACATTGGAAGAACAGAAAGAAGAAGGGCATATCTACGATTTTCTGAACATGTACCAAAAAGCTTACGTCTAAAGGGAACAAATGCTTTAAACAGTGCCATCGCCAGGCATCTTCTTGACACAGGTCATGAGGTGGACGTCGAAAAGTCGTTCAAAATTATCAATAAGCAAAAGAGCTCAATTCTCCTTAAGTTTGATGAAGCTATTTCCATCAAGCGCCTGAAACCTGATTTGTGCGTTCACAAAGAAGCGGTTATCAGTCTTTCTTTGCCCTGGTAACTGGATATTTTTCATCCGAATGCGAGATACTGAAAAGTTTTCATTGTGTATGATTATTATTGCTCGGAATAGTGTTCAATATTGCATATATATATGTATATATTATTAGTGTATGCGTATATTGATCGATTGATTTTTGTTTAAAATGAACTCTGTGCAAGTATGTTGAAATTGTTTTTGTAGATACATTTAATAATGTTTTTGCCCTGTAAGCAGCTGACGAGAAGGCGACGAAATAAAAGATGGTACCATTTTATTCTGCTAAAACTGTAGTTGTTGCTTTGTTCAAATTCATTAAGGGGAATAAATGTATGAAATAACCAATAATATTTGAGTATTATATAGCAACAAGGACAACAATAAGAACCAATCAGCATCAACGAGTGAAATTTGCAAGAAGTAACCTCTTTTACTTATTGAGGCAGATAGCAACATGTTTCAACTATAAGCAGTGGCATAGATGAGTGTGTGAAAGTTAGTCACTAGTGCGTCAGTGGCACAGAGGTTATGACTCTCGCCGATCATGCACACGGCCCGAGGTTCGATCCTCTGCCGACGCACACCTAATATCTATGGTCAGCCTGCTAAATTTGGGCTACCGATATCATATGCTGAAAATTCCATACCTGTACCAAAAATATGGTGTGGAATCAAACTGTAATCAAAAATAAAAATAAAAAAATAAATAAGATCGGAAATTAGTAAGGAAGTCTATTGCACCCATTATAAGGTACAATAAAGGTTCTGACCTTCAAAACTAATAAGAAGTTACTTCACAGTTATGTGTCGTTTGGAGGCTTGAAAAGTGAACGTCACGAAAATGCCAACTTTTATCAACAGCTGCGTTCGTTGTATGATGAAAAGCAGTTGACTTGGAAGGAAAGGTAACAAGAAAGTCTGAGAACGAACCAACCAAGAACCTGTAGCCCAATAAATATGTGGAAGGAAAAGGAGATGGATCGTACACACTCTGAGGGGACCATTGAGGGACATCACAAACCGGTCCGGCAAGTGGAACGCAAATGGGAAAAGGCCAGTTGGGCAACAGTCCGAGGATGACATGAAGGGTATAATGAGAGCAGCCTGCTGAAAAATGCTGTGTCGAGGCCCTGTATTGCATTTCGTAATCTAAGGGGAATAATAATAAAAATATATATAGGATACAAACATACCTTCCAAGGCTGAGCACTTCGGTCCAATCAATCAACAGGAGAGCCCGAATCGAATTAAGCAATAATATTTGAGTATAATAACAGTAATAAATACCAATCACTTTCGACTGCAGAAATCTAGAGGAAATCATCACCTCTTTCACTTGTCCGAGCAGTAACGTTTCAACTACAGCACTCGCAGATGAAAGCGTCAAAGATAACCAGTCAGGATCTAAGAAGTACGAAAGACATTCACTGCTCTGAAATCAACGTGAAAATCTACCGCACTGAACTCAGCGAACACGATCCGGATCTTCACTACTAAAGTGAAGTTAGTCTGCGCTTCTCTATATTTCCCAGAATTGTAGATGCATCACTCACGAAAGGTATACTCAACAGATGCTCGCTCCTCATCCTGAAGATCAGATGAACAACCGGCTGAGAAGAATAAGCAACAAGGAGTTCTTGAACCGAACTAACCAAAAATCTATCACCAAATCAAGAAAGATGTAGAAGAAAATGGTTTGTTATTAGACACACCTTTGTTTTTTTAAAATTTTGATTAGTTTCCTTGAAGGTCGGACGAGTTTTCGGAATGAAAAGACGGAATTTTTTCCCTTCACGTTCCCCAGTGGAACATAGGGCTTCAAGCTAGTGGCTTGAAGTTTCTGTAGCAGTGTTTATTTTACAGGATGGGGTTGCTAGCCTCATGCCCAACCTTTCCTCTTCACCAGCATTATTTCTGGCTCAGTGAGGTAAAGGAGTGCGTCGGCTGGGGATCGAACCCCGGACCATGTGCATGGTCGGCGAGCGTCCTAACCGCTGTGCCACTGAGGTGGGGTGGCCAAGCGGTCTAAGAGATGGGATAATATATTTCAATTTCGCTGAGATCTTATAAAGATATTTTTACATATGTCTACTTTCCAATCGGCACCCAGTTGCTGTGGTACTATCAGGTCAGAACTTCACCAGAGTTCGTGTAAAACAGGATAGATTTCTTCACTTGACAACATCCGTTAGAGAATCACTGAAAGCTAGAGAGTACTGAATAGCTGTTCGGTTCTAACTTGGGACCTGGCAGAAGAATATACCCACGAATCGACTACCCACCAAACCTAGAGCCAAGCATGTTGGCCATTCAGACATGACTGGCTGCATTATTATTTCCCTCAGGAAGAAAGCAGTACACTGCATGTGTCAGGGGAAGTCGTCCACTTTATTCCTTACTAAGGCTAGCGTCCCTCAAGGCATTCTTCTTCCTCCTTTTCTGATTTCTTTCTTCTTGCATGACTTGCTTCACTCTGATGAAATGAACTCTGTTAAGTATGTGGAAGATCTAACTGTTTCAGTGCCTGTTAACTCCCAGCTAGACTGTACTAAGATGAACAGGTTTCTATCAGGAGTTAGCAAATGGTCTTTGTCTAATGGTCTTAAAGTAAATCCTTCCAGATATCAGACTGTTAATTTCAGTTTCCGATATAAGAGAAAGTTAAATGAAGCTGTTAATTCCTATGACCGCTGTAAAATTGGTGACACTGAAATAGAAACCAAGTATGACGTTAAGTACCTTGAACCAATTCTTTCCCTTGATCTATCCTAGCTTTCCGACGTCTTAGCCATTTCTAATAAAATATTCCGTCTGCCATTTTACATTAAGAAGTTAAGGCACTGGGGCATAACTCAACCAAACCCTTCTCTCACAGTTTGTCAACTCAAACATCTTACCTATTCTTCTCTATTTTTTGCCCCTATTCCTGCTTAAAAAAGACTCTGTGATACTCTGAAGACTGTCAGTAGGGTGAGTGGTGTCCCACTGGGCCATATCGTTGACATCTTGGTTTATAGGCATTTAATTTCAGTCCACTCTTGAATCAGGTAAATATCCCAAAGCCTTTGTAAAAATATATTTCAAATGTGAACATAAGGATGTATCGAAATCTGTTGCCAAGAATTGAGTTAGTACAGCGGTGATTCCTTACTGAAAACAAACATCGGATGAGATAAAGCGAATCCTTAAAAATCCTGACATAAGAGTGTATTTTCGTGCAACTAACACCTTACGCTCATCACTGGTGAAGGTTAAGGAAACAGTCGAAGACAGCCAACAGAATTGTGTGTACCAGATCACTTGTGGAGACTGTGACGCCGTATATGGTGCAGATACTTCCATACAAGTAAATATAAGAGTGAAAGACCTTAAACAATGTCTAAAGGTGGTTCCAAAGACCTCTGCAAACTTCAAGAAGTTAGAAAACAGATCAGTGATTGTACTGCACTCGATAGAAACGGGACGAAAAATCGACTTTGATAGGACTAAGGTTCTACAGAAAGGTTTTGGTTCGTATAAAGAAAGACTGACTGCAGAAGCCCTACATATATGTGGGTGAATCCCAAAAGTTTGAACAGACGTGAAGGTGTGATGTGTGTTAGCGGATGCATGGCAAGTCCTGATTAATAAATAAATAAAAATGTATATGTATCAATAATCAATTATACTTGATCTAAATTCCCAGATTGTCTGTAGCTCCTTATGGAGGTGCTAAAAAATGGTTTACAACTGTTTCCCCATATACACATGCACACACACACCATTGTATACCGCATATACAAATATATATTTTTTCATATTCAGTTATCTACGATCATGAACTTTAGTGGAACGGAATCACTAAAATTCTGATGAAAAAGTACACACTGTTGGCAATGTTTAGCAAAAGTAAACTAATAATTATAAGTCTGAGGTCAAATTTTGATTACAGATCATACAATTTTTTTTGTTTACTATATTTTGATGCCTATTTTAAGACTCATATGATTGGTCAAAGCTTTTTTTAAAAACAAGAGATGTCCTTTTTTAAATATAAACCTTTGTTGTGTTAATTTCGGTTAATTTCCCTGAAGCAGTTCGGGCAAGTTTGCCGAACGAAACAATTTTTAAATATTTTATATTCCCTTAAGTTCCCAGTGGAAAATAGGGCACCTTCAAGCTAGAGTTCTTTTGAAGTTTCGGTAGCAGTGGTGTTTATTTTTACATGATAAGGTTGCTAGCCTCATGTCCAACCTTCCTGCTTTACCAGTCTTATAACTGACTTAGCGAGGTAAATGAGTGCGTCGGCGAGGGATAGAATCCCCAAACGAAACACTGGAATTACTTTATTTCAATTTATCTGACACTTTACAAATATAATTTTTACATATGCCTACTTGTCACTCGGCCCCAGTGATTTTTAAACTAGTAGGTCAAATCTTGATCACAGTACATATGAATTAGTGAGTGACTATTCGAACTGAGAACCTTGAACCAGCGAAGTACAAGAATAGAGTCTCAGGATTGTAAATGTTCCAATGACCCTGAACGCATGCTAGTCATTGGTTGAGGAAGCTTACCATTATTCTAGCGCTAAAATGAACCCTGTTCATGAGCTCAGATGCAAATTCCATCCAGATCACGTTTTCCAGTACTGCCTAGATAATGGATTGATAGGACGTACTCGGATATGCGGTTGTGGTGCTTCCATGAACCTCCAGTCGTATACCCAGGTCACTGATGGATATGTATTCAGATGTACACAGTGTAGGAAGCGAATATGTGTGCCTACTAGTAAGTGACACTCTGAATTAATTGTCTTCTAGGAACTTTCTTTGAAAAGTCGAAACTATCTTTGACGAATATCTTGTTTCCGTCCAATTACTGGGTTTTAAAGTCCGGGGTGCGATCTACTGCGGCTCAAACAGCTAATACGTTGACGTCTACTGTGTAGTGGTTTCAATTTTGTCGAGATTTAGCCTCGTGGAAGATGAATAGTATTACTCAGGTGTTGGGAGGAGTCGGTGTAGTCGTCCATATCGATGAAACCGTTCTTATCAAGAAGAAGTACAATCGGGGGCGTGCCAGAGCGAATAACGTTTGGGTTTTAGGAATTTATGACACCCAGATTCGCAAAGGGTTTATCGAGCTGATTCCAGATAGGAGTGCTGATACACTCCTCCCTATTATTCAGCGTCTCGTCTTACCAGGCACCACCATTCACACAGATGAATGGGCAGGATACAACCGATTGTCGCAACTGGGTTATATACATCATCGAGTCAACCATTCCGATGACTTCGTCGACCCCAGGACCGGTACTCATACGAATTCAATAGAAGGTTTCTGAGGAAGACTGAAAAATAGAATCAGAGCGATCAACGGATCTGAAAACGAAGTTGTTTTCAGTTACCTAGTTGAATATATGTATGAAAATTGGTTCAATTTAAAAACTGAAACCCCTCTACAAAATTGGGAGATTTTTTATCTCATATTAGAGAAAAATATCCTGTTTAATGTTTTTTAATGCTTTTTATGTAAATATACGTAAAATTTTATGCAAAAATCCTCATTTTCCCTGATTGGTCGGCTCAAGGTCACTCGTGCGTTCGCATCCCTTGGGACTCTATTGTAGAACTTTGCCCTTGAACCCAGTATCTATTGTTTTAAATGCCAATGCATTATCCACTAGCCATCACATCAAGCAAAATAACATCATGTTAACATTTATACATCTTCAGCGTGCCCACACTAACAGTTGTCATGGTAACACAGGCATCGAGTCCAGTAAAAATTATCAATGAATACAGAATACAATAAAGATAAAATTTCGACTAACATACTTTTCTTTATTCAATTGTACATGGTCACCATCTAAAATTAATAAAAAAAATATATAAATAAGTAAATGAAATTTTAAAAAATAATTATTTTGAAATCTATCACTAGGGTAGGTGCAACCAATGTCACAAGGCTAGTCTTTAACACTGGTGCTGACTACGTCCCGTTTGTCAAGTTTACAATATTTGGAATGAACTAGGTAACTAGCTGTATTACTATGAGTGAAATCAATCACCAGGCAACTGAAGTGCTGCATACATGTTTCGTGCATTGTTCGTAGTCATCAGTAATGCATATCTGCGCACCAGAAGGAATTAATAATAATAATAATGATTTACTTTATTCCAAAAACAGTACTTGCGATACAGAATGGGACTGTAAACTGTAATCACAATATTTCATCTAATTTCCTCAAATTATAAATAAAATTAATCACACAGAAAATTTTCCACATTTACAATAAGGGCAATGTCAGAAACATGCAGCATATAAAATTGAAATAATAATAATGATAGCAGCTAGGGTAATAATAATTAAAGTGAAAATTGCCGTGGGCTTGTTTCACACAGTATTGTCGATGCGGTATAGAAATCCTAGGATGTTCAAATGTATTGAATGTAATGTTCTCTTTACATGATATGGTGAGGGGAAAAACAAAAATCACAGCAGTCATAGAGATAAGTTGGTGTTTGCAATTATGAGAGTAAAACAAAGAAGCAACAGGACCATAAATATAATAGAAAAAGTAAAACTTGAAGGTATATAAGGATGGATGGAGGAGATTGTTTATTTACTAGATGAAAAAAGGTTAGTCCATTCTTGCCTGATGCTATATTCATCACATGAAATACGTGCCAAGTATGGTATCATAGAATTTTTATACTTAGAAGTGCGAGCATACAGTTTTCTGAAGTTACTTCTTGTTCTACCTGAGAAGATGCAAGGTGAAAGCTGAGGGTGAAGTGGATGCTCCAAGTCAGACAAAATCCCTTTAGCAAATTTACCGCACGAAGTCAAGTGACTATTGACAACGACGTTAACTATGTAGTCCACTGGGACACCACTCATCCTACTGACAGTCTTCAGCATTCTACGAATTGTGACATAGTCCTTTTTAAGCAAACCAGGAAAGAATAAGGGTGAACAATAAAGAAGAATAGGTAGGATGCAAGAGTTTATGAACTGTAAGAGGAGGAGTTGAGTTATACCCGAGTGCCTTAACTTCTTAATGTAAGATGTCAGGCGGAATATTCTACTGGAGATCGCTGAGACATGGGAAGACCAGGAGAGGTTAGAAGAGAGAATAAGTCCAAGACACTTAATTTCTGATTTAATTCCTATATCATTGTCATCAATCTTACAACTGTCATGAGAATCGACGGCTTCTTAAGCTGAAATTAACAGTTTGACATTTAGAAGGATTCAGTTTAAGACCGTTAGACTCAGACCATTTACTGATTCCCGACAGAAAGCTATTTATTTTGGTACAATCTAGCTGGGAGTTAACAGCCATTGAAACTGTTAAATCATCAGCATACTTCACAAAGTTTACTTCATCAGAGTGAGGCAAGTCATGTAAGAAGAAAGAAAAAAGAAAAGGAGAAAGGACAGCGCCTTGAGGGACACCAGCTTCAGTAGGCAATGAAGTGGAGGACTTCCCTTTATCTCTTTAGCGATTCGAACTGTTATCACTCAGTGCTTCAGTTAGAGAAATCACCTTAGTCATTCACGACCAAAAGGGCTTATGGATAATATCTCTTACTGGATAGTACAGGTTCAAATCTATGAGAAGACAATATTTCATTGGAAACTGTAGATGCATCATGTTCAGGAGTGCTAATAAGCACAAAACCATTGATGTAAGGCTTCATGCTATTCGCCTCTAAGTGCTGTTGTTGAGCAATCAGGCGATTCGATAGACATGCCACCGACACAAGCTGCCTACGTGTCTGGGAAATGGTGAAAAACATCAGGAAGAAGGTCACTTTTGACTCATTTGACTAGAAACGGGCACTAAGTGGACAGAAAATGTTCTTGTACGCCTATTTATCATATTCCTTCGAACTCTTCGAAGAGGGTGGGAACTAGTCTTTTATGTATAAATGAAGGTATGGAAATTCCAGGGAATAACCCTGATCCATTCACTCGCAATAATTTTGTCCTACCTCTGTATCTACGCTGGCCGTGATAAATCTAACAAATAAATCCGCCATTACTTTTTCTCATCTCTCTGTTACATTTACTATTTGTATTAAAAGTTTGACCACGGATTGATATCAGTTAGAGAACCATTGAAGACCAACACAGTAAACTGGACTTCTAGGCAGTAAGCAACCAACACAGGGGTTCGAGCCCAAGCTCTTCCAGCTAAAAAGCAGGCTCGGAGATCATTCAGCCACTAGGACCTGACTCCTCAAAGGCCAGCCCATGAATTCTAACCTCTACCAATCCGTGATTTCAACTTTGATTATTCATCTACCACATCTTCAGTATTACGTAACTTTCAAGTACACAAGTTTTGGCTTAATATAACCAGTGGAAATAATATCGAACTAAAGTGTAGAATGAAGAAGTGAGATCCATATTATTATTATTGTTTCCTTTAATTCCTAGAGGAACATAGGGCTTCAGTCGTGCGTCTCTATTGCGTTCGGTTCTCTGCTAGAGTTTTCACCTGGCTCAAAGTCTGCCCACACGTTTTCATCTCCTCTTCACATGACCTCCCCCATGTCACCCTTGCACTGAAGACCAACTCGCCGCCACTTCCCTTTCGGCCGGGTTACACTCGAGCAATGGCTTGTCTAGTGGTGTCACTTGATGGTTTCCTCATCTCCATTTATTCCTGCATATTCACCCATCCCCCTGTTTATTATGGCATTCTGATTCCTAATTGTAGTTTTTACTAATTTAACCCCTAACCGGAAATTGTTCTGGAACTTTCCCATCCATTTGATATAAATACACGAATGTACAGCCTAGATGATGACTTCGTCGAAAAGAGAATTTTCTTCGCTGCAACTGTCTTTTTATTCCCTATGATCAAATGTGTATATTCCTGCATATTTGTTGCACAATCGGTTCCTGATGGGTTGGTTCGCTCCCGGAGATCCCTGTTGCTCAAAATTTCTGGCCGGCCATCTGATCTTGAGTATTGAGCGAAGACAACTGCCAATAAAGGTCTGTAGTTTGTTTGAGATGCTCTTTATGACGCGCAGTGCAAGTCTCTGATCCGTATAGTAGCACTGACTTCACATTGGAGTTGAAAATCCGGGTATTATTTTTGATGCTGAGTGCTGTTTACCTCCACACAGACTTAGGAGTAGTGAAAGCTTGTCTTGCTTTTCTGATTCTTGCTTTGATATCCTCGTCAGTTCCGCCTGTAGTTGAAACGATGCTTCCTAGGTCGTTAGGTGAAGGAGGTTGTTTCTTTCATGTTCCTTCCACTTATGCTGATTGTTGTCTGTTGTTGTTGTTGTTGTTGCTGTTGGTGGTGTTGCCCAGGAATCTTCGTCACCTCTGTTTTCTCTATGTTCACCTGAAGTCCTATATTTGATGCTTCTTCTATCGCCAACTTGTTGCTTTTCACTTGCATATCTTCCAGTTTGTGGGAAATCAGACATATATCATTGGCGAAGTCCAGATCCTCAAATTTTTTCGTTAGGGTCCATTTTATGCCTGTTTCCTCATTGTCCGCCGTTTGTCGCATTATCCAATCTACTGCAATCAGGAAAATCATTGGCGATAGTAGGCAGTCAGCTTGTCTTCCTTCTGTCCTCATTTCGAAGGATTCCGTAAGTTTCCCGTTGTGGATTACTTGGCATGCAGCATTGTCGTACAGCTGTTGGATGAGATGACCTTGATAAAATCGTGTCCCACTCATCCATTTGCAGTAAAATCAATCTTTCATTGGTTAACCAATCAAAGTACTCAATCATAAAACAAATCCGTTGTTGATCTTTTAATGCCTCATTTGGTATGTACTGGAAATTCAAAATTGAATGAATCAAACGTCTAGTCTGAAAAAGAACCTATGAAAATTTACTATGTCCAAATGTTGTTAATTAGTTAGACTAACAGGGAACCTAACATTTTGGAGTGTATGTTCTCAGTTTTTAGCTGGCTGACTCGTTGAGCGGGGAGGGGGCGTAGAGAAAAATTCACTTAGAAAAGGCATAACAATCGTATAAGACCTAGACTAGACCGGAAGCCTAAAGGATACAAATTAGGACTTTCTCATGGAGGATGAACGGGCATATGTACAAGGGGTGAGGATGAAAGCTGTCGTGACAATGTCACATGTCGGGTGATACACAAGAGAAAACTCACTGAGGCGTTTAAGTGAATACAACAGTAATACAAGGCTGCCTATTATTACCGATGATATTCTTAATTGTGGTGGACTCGATTATGCGTAATACAGACTATGGAGACCAAGAAGACGGGACCAAGCAGGACCGATAAGAAGATTCTAGAAGATCTGAATTTCGCAGATGATTTATGTCTCATGTCACAAAAACTCAAAGACTTACAGGAGAAAATCAAAAAGCTGGCTGAAGAAGCAGGTAATCAAGACACGACTTCAAGTCAACATGGGGGAGACAGAAGTGGTGAAGATACACACACGCAGCAACACTACCAACAAGAAACAGAACCAATGACTATCAAAGGAATAAATTTGAAAGAGGTCACTTCCTTCACTTATCTAGTAAGCATCATTTTAACTACATGCAGTCAGAAAGAATAACGATGTCAGAACCAGAATCGGAAAGGTTAAATACACCTTCATCACTCTGAAACCAATTTGGAAATCTTCTACACTTCGCAGCAAAAAGAACAAGATTCTGATTTCCAACACAAATGTTAAATTAGTCAGTTCGTCTATATAGCCAGACACTTAGCGTTTGGGTTACGAAAAGCATTTCCAACTTTGATCAAAAGCTGCCATCGCTCCGTATTGAAGATCACATGGCTGGCGAGAAAGAATTCGTAACGAGAAACTCTAGGAACAAAGCAACAGGTGAGAACCTATCGCTCAACAATTATTCCGAAGAAAATGGAGATATACTGGGCACACGCCGCTGAGGAGACCGTTGAACGACATGGCGTGTCAGACTAGTGCTTGCGTGGAAGATGAATGGGATACGACGAGATGGAAACAGGTCATAGGAGATCAAGGAGGAGATTGTGTGAGGAGGAGACGAGAGATTATGGGCAATCGAGGGGCCAGCTAAAGAGTGTCACAGAAAATTGGACAAAGTGAAGATGTGATGTTAAAGCCCAGTGTTCCACTCGGAACCCAATGGAATAGTAATAATGACGGATATTCCAACTGTATAAGATAAGTTGATATAACACCTTTAAAACAGTCAAAGGTAACAGCTGATATGATTACAGAATTCGTCTCAGTGCATAATACAAAATCACATACCTGAGGAAATTTAAATCGTAGTTGACGGCTTCCGCCCAAACTATTAAAGTAAACTGGAACGAAAGCGCGGCAAGTTTAATTTTGGAATAACTTATACCTTCGTTCGTATACAAGTTATCGTTAAAACGAATCTGCCTTCACTTTATTTCCACCTACTCAAATGGGTGAAACGGAATCAGGTGTGGGTACTTCATCTTACATAACACAAATCGAGTCCTGGGCTTTTAATCGGTTGTATTTTCACTTCCCTAACAGAGTGTAGTATACTGTATATAAAGGCAAATCTTCCTCTGCCTCACTGCTTACTAAAGCTGGTGTTCCTCAAGGTGCTGTTCTCTCTCTTATTCTTTTTTTCTTTCTCCTTACATGAATTGCCTCTTTCAAATGACCTGGTTGTCTTTTTACCAGTTACGTCCTAACCTGACTGTTCCAAACTGTGAATAGCTTTTTGTCGGACATCAGTTAGTGATCTAACCCAAATGGTTTTACCTTAAATTCCTCCAAATGTCAAACAGTTAATTTCACCTTCAGACATAAACGTGATTTACACCACGAACTGGTGTGTTCACAAAAGATGCTTTCATCATAGAGAGCACTAAAATACGAAATTAATTAAACATGAAATATCTTTGAATATTTATATCCTGTAACCTGTCTTGGTCAGTTCGTTACTTTTGTAGTCGACAGACATATGTATTCATGTGAGAAATGGCCTAAATCCATATTGTCTGATTATCAATAACCTCTGTATTCACAACACTCTCCTTGAATCTCATCAGGTAGGACTAAATTATTATTATATTACTATTGTTTCCTTTAGTTCCTAGAGAAACATAGGGCTTCAGCCATTCGTCTCCATTGCGTTCGGTTCTCTGCTAACGTTTTCACCTAGCTCCACGTCTGCCCACATGCTTTCGTCTCCTCTTCATATGACTTTCTCCATGTAACCGTCGCACTGACGACCAACTCACCGCTTCCCGTTCGGGTTCCATTCGAGCAACGGCCTGACTAGTGATGTCACTTGATGGTTTCCTCAGAGTGTGGCCAATCCACCTCCATTTCTTCCTGTTTATCTGTTGTACAATCGATCCTGGTTGGTTCGCTCCCAGAGATCCCTGTTGCTGATCTTTTTTTGCCATCTGATCTTGAGTAGTATTGAGCGAAGACAGGTAGCTGTTGATGAAGGTCTGAAGTTTGTCCGAAGTGCCCTTCGTGACGTGGCGCGGCTACAAGTCTGTGATCCGTATAGTAAGTAGCACTGACTTCACACTGGAGTTGAAAATCCGGATCATATTTTTCGTGCTGAGTGCTACTGACCTCCAAACAGACTTGAGAGTAATGAAAGCTTGCCTTACTTGGCCACTCTCGTACATGGTGCGGACGCTCCATTTAGGTAGGACCAGAAGTCCTTACAAAAGATTATATTCTCGTACAAAAACTCAACGACACCATATTTGTCCTGACGGTGTTCTGTCTGGTAGAGACAGTGTTAAGCGTGAAACTTACAACTTACTATGCTATTAGCAAAATAATTGGCTCTTTTATATTCTCCTGTTCGTAATTTATGTTAACACTATTCCGATTAACTTATAATTTTAGCTATTAACATTATTATCATCCTTATTTTAGGCTTTTTGTACATTTTTGACTTTATTGTCATCGTTCGGACAACTTTACCGAACGATACTTTGGAATTTCTGGTTTCATTTTCAGGAAGATTTTACAAATATAATTTTTGCATATGTTTACTTCTCACTCAGCACCCAGTGACCTTGGAAATATTCAGTCAAATCTTGATCACAGTTCACATGAAGACCTTCACATTCCTAACCAAAACTCATACAAAAGTAACAATGCGCGTAAAACCGAGATCATGAACCGTTGATTTCTAGAAAAGTAATTGTTTGGTGTTCATAAAGTTTTGTTATGTAATCACGAATGTTCCATCAAAATTTTGTTTCCCTAAAACAAACAAATTAATCCTGAGTATGCTAACTTGGTCGACGACATAACGTCCATGAATTAAATATTAAGGTTAGTAGATGACTATATATGTCTAAACCATGATCACATTTAACAGTTTGAAAAAATTTGGGCATTGGGTATATGATATTCATTATAATAAAGGTTTCATTGATATAAGAATAAAACTTGGGCACTGTGGTAGAGTGTAATTCCATTCTGGGTAAATTTTTATTTTGATAGAGTCTCACAGTGTTATGCAGTAATATTTACTGATGACGTTTCGAGCACAATTTACTGCTCCCAATGAATGAATGAAAAACAAAACGATATTGCTGTTTTCACTGATGTTTCGCTATTTAATGCTGCTGCTAATAGCTGTATCAAAGTACCATTTCTAGACTGCCTAGTTAAGAGGAGGGAAAACGGACATTTTGGTATATCTATATTCAGGAAGTAAACCCACTCTAATAAGTATTTAAACTTCGGATCATCACACCCCATCAGCACAAAGGTATCAGTTATTTCAAGTCTTCATACACGACCACACTCATTGATAACGGATGAGAAGAAAAAGAAGAAGAAATATCAAACATTACTGAGACCGTCAAGCAAAACAATTACCCAACGAAATTCATCAACAAAATCAACACTGACATTAGGTATAGTTGAAAACGCATTCCGAAGACATGGACCTCGACAGTTGTCATTCCATATAGACCATCAGATTCGTCAGATGATATCAGAAGAGTACTCAATAAGCTCGACATCAGAGTTCTCTTCAAAACAACAGACACCAAATCCCTAAAGATTATCTATCAAATTGTGTCTATAAAATAAAATGCTTGGAATGTGATGCAATATACATCGGAAAAACATCTCGAGAAATCAAGATCAGAAGAAATGAACACCGTAGAGCCGCCTCTGTTTGACCGCGGAGAAATCCGGTTGAACTAGAAAAGCTTGCAAAATCATCAGCCATAGGTGGTCTACATGCTATAGAACCAGGCCACAAAATTGATTTTGACAATGTTGAAATCATCATCCAGGAAAAGCATTTCAAAAATCACAAAGAATGTCTACTATCATCAGAAGCACTTCATGTCAAATGGAATCCAAATTGTCTGAATAGGAATGATGGACTATAACAGAATTTGACCTGGTTACAACACCTCCCTCCCCCCTCCATGAAATGACAAAATCAACACAAATATGATAAGCAATTTCATTATGTGAACACACGCTGCTTTTATAATTTTACACACTTATCAAATCCAACAATCTACACCTGGTTTCGTTATCTTTACCAATTGGTTAATTTGACAACGCAAAAATGACCGCATGCTGAGGAACAATGATTAAGTTGTTATATATATATATATATATATATATATGCTGAGTGGATTTTGTCAATTCTTGTTTAATATTACTACTTTGATAAAGCTATTAGCAGCAGCATTAAATAGCGAAACGTCAGTAAAAACAACGACAGTATCGTTTTGCTCTTTTTCATTCATTCATTGGGAAATACAAAAAGAACCTTTATTATAATGAATAAGGAAAAACTGTCTATAAGTAATTTAAAGAAACAATAAGCTTTAGAACTTACTTATGGCATTTTTGAGCTGAAAATTCGGAAAGAAACAAGAATGAAAACACGTTTCATTTGGATAAAACCACATTCATTCGTATTTTTTAAAAATTAACACAATAAATAATGAACACTTAGAGAACATAGTTGTTGGTGAAACTATCTGTGTAGGCTAAACATTCAACTGTCAGACTGCTTTATTTTTGTGTATTATGTAATAAATTATAGAATTAGAAATGGAATTTTGGAAAATAAAAACCAAGTAGCTGAGATAATACTGAGATTTGGGTTCGTTTTTACTGTCATTTCAACGCTGAATGATTACTGGACTTCTATACCCCCACTGAGAAAAAAGCAAAGATTTATTTTCTCCGCAGAGAAGGCACTATCACTAGAAAATTGTCAATAATTTTATAGTTATTTTATATGATCAATAAATTACCAGGTTTAAGGTATAAAAATTATATTATATATATTTTGACTGGTTATTTTGATTGATTTTATTTAATTTTTTTACGTTTCGAGTGCGGTACACAGAGCTCCCAATGCTGAACTTTTAAGTTTCAGTAGAAGTGGTGTCCTCCTTTATGGCTGTGAGACCTTGTGAGACCTGGCCATTGAGAGTGGAAGACATAAAATACCTGGCTATCTGTCTTTGATCTTAGGTTTCGGCGTTCTATCTCCCGTGTGAAGTGGTGTAATAAGGCGAGCAATATTGAGGTTAGGTCATCGCTCGAGTGCTAGGTAAGGAGGGGAAATCAATCGACGAGACTGTGAAATTGCATCGACTGAGATGGTTAGGACATGTGTTACGTATGCATCTCTAGCCATCGCCTTCCTCGACGGGCAATGATGGCTGATATAAGGTCAGGCCGAAAAAGAGCTAGCGGCGGCCAAACGAAAACATGGCACAATCAATGAAATCCACAACAGTTAGTTTAAGCTACATAAGAAGCTGTAGATTTCCCGGTTAGGGTCCTTGGGACGGTAAAAACCAATGGTTGGAAACAATTGGTGACATGGCTCAAAATCGTTCTCAATGGCTGGTGCAGATGCATCCAGTGTTTGTGACTTATGATTTCAAATTAAACTGTTTTGTTCTTCGTTATTACTATTCCTTTGTCTCACACCTCTGTTTACTGTCTATATTATGCATTTCTCCTACTTTCTTCTCTTGCTTTGTGTGCTACATGGAGGGAGTGTGGCGACTTGAACTGTGGCACATATGTGCAAAGTTCTATGTCGAAAACAGACAGACAGTGATGTTTTCTTCTTAGGGGTTTGATTGCCAGACTGACGCTTAACGCTCCGTCTTTACCTGGCTTACCACTACCGACTAAGTGAGGAATATGAAAGATTAAAGAGACTGAATACATCTGCGTAAGCCATTGACAACGATTTTGAGCCATGTCACCTATTGTCTCCAGCCATTGATTCTTAGAGTCCTGAGGGTTGGCCCCAACCCCGAAGTCTGCATCTCCCTCCCTACCTGACTCAGTTTAACTGCCAGGGATTTCATGGATTGATTGATGCCATGTTTTTGTTTGGCCACCACTTACTCTTTTCCAACCTGCACCTATATCAGCTAGTAATGCCCGTTGGGGGAGGCGATGGTTAGGCATGAGCAGCACGTGACCTACCCATCTCAATCTATGTAACTTCATCGCCTCGTCGATTGATTTTCCCTCTTTGCCCAACACTCTACGCCTAACGTCAACATTACTTACCTTATTATGCCACCTATCGTGAGAAAGAGATCGTAGACATCTATGATCAAAAACAGTCAACCTTTTCATGTCTTCAACTCGTATTGGCCATGTTTCAGAGCCAGCCATAGAGAAGGACGGAGCGAACTGCTGAGCAGTACACACGTCCCTTGGTTGATAGCCGGATGTCACGCCTACGTCAGAGATGGTGTAAGTTAGCGAAGGCAGCTCGAGCTTCTCGAATCCGTGCTGAGATTTCGTAGCCAATCAATCCGTTGGTACTGATACAACTACCCGAATAGGTGAAATGGTCAACATGTTCTATCACTTCACTCCCTATCACGAAGCTAGGAGTTGATGTAGTCCAGTCCTGTAGCAGCATCTTACATTTTACAGGGGCGAATCGCATGTTAAACATACGAAGATTGCTGCTCAGGGTGTTCAGAAGACTCTGCATTTTGTCAGCGTCCTCTCCTAACAGGACTATGTCATCTGCATATTCTAAGTCCATAAGATTATATACGCTAGGCTGTCGAATGGTAAACGGCAAGTTGGGCGTGGATCCAAGTGTGACATGAAGGAGGCTATGTGAGGAGAAGATGATAGCTTATGGGAAACCATGGGGCCAGATATAGAGGACTGCAGTGAACAAGATATAACAGAGACGTCTTATTGAATCCCTATGTTTGTGATGTGTTTTTTGTGCCAGTTAGTCTAATTGCCAAGCTACAATCATCCTTCTATAGGGCAGTTTTTCAAGTCAAACATAATAAAGTGTGAAATGAGGCTATTGAATTCTACATGCGTAAAATAACCATCTTTCTCAATGACCTTGACTGTAGTTGATCAATTTAAGAAGCTTTCTTTCAATTGTATTTATCTTCGCAAACAACCAGTCACAATCAATGGCACCAGAAGGAGACGTGTATTTCATTGCTGAAGAATGTCACATGCAAGTCAAAGCTGAGGATGTTGCTTATAAAGGCAATGAAATCTTCATAATTAAACCTCCCAGGACAGAGAACACTACAACAATCACGAACACCTCCAAACTAGATGCAAATTTTCTTCATTCCTAGAATAATTCACAAGTCAGCCCAACTTGTGTTATGGTGTTGTAAAACATGATTTAGAAATTTATATTGAATATAAATTCCGCCAAAACCGACATTCGAAATGCTTATTTTTAACGTAAGTTACTTAAACAAGTCATGATCAATAAAATTCATCAGTAATACTATCAAGGAATAGATCTAGATGTAAGGCATTGATCATTACTCTTGAGTAACCAACCAACGTATCTATTACAGTCTTTAAATGAAGTGGTAGGTGACACGGCTTTGAACCCCCCCCCCAAAAGGACATCACTTGTTTTGAGATTACAGGTACACCTTGATGATGATGATAAGTGCCAACAACTAGGCAACTTAGAAGCGAAATTTCCTGCCAATCGCCGGAAAATACACAATAACTGATTACCTTTCTTGAAGGACACTGAACATGATACCTAGGTTGATGTTAAACAGCCAGCATACTAATAATGTTATTTTGATTGGACACTAGTTACTAGTGTCAGCTATGACTGCAGCAATGGGTGACGCGGGTTCGAATCTCAAAAGGAGGGACATGAGTTCCTTCAAAGTTGCAGATGCACCTTGCTAACGAGTGCCAACTAGCGCGAAACCTAGGTCCAGGGCTTCCTGCCGATCACCTCCAACCATCTAATATACTAATAATGTTATTCAGTTGGAATAAATTCTTCGTTATTACCAGGCTATAAGTCATGTTTGTTATACGAGAGCTGGTAATATATTACCTGTTCACCCAGGCTGAATTAAGCGAAATGCGATATGAACTCTCCCGACCCATTGACTAAAAGTTAAAAGCTTCTTAGTTCAATCCGCCTTATTTACATACTACTGTGGTGAGAGCTGGCTGCTAGCCGAATTGGTAGACAGTAATCTTTACGTCCCGAATATCGGTCATGAGAAAAAAACAAGAACAAAGACTGATTCAACAGCCAGTCACAGCAGACTTTGCGTAGGCGGATAGAATTTACAGACAGATAATCTGAACTTCAAGAAACAGCCACAAAGAGATGAAAGATTAACTTTCAGCGAGAAACCACCAGTCAGAAGACTGTGTTTGTTTGCTTACAATAATCTGTAATTATGTACATTAAAATCTATAAATATGTGTTGATTTCCCTTAATAAATGATCTGTTCCCTGGCCCTTGTCTTCTGTTGTTACATTTGGTGTCGCTGCCTACCGACAAATGGAAAGCCTATGCCTTGCAGTTTTTTTGATAGAGACATATGGATCTTCGGGCAGGGCTTTGAGGCTTCTTCGCAGTTGAGTGGCGTTCAAAATCCGTCAGCGATGAGGCTGCTACTTGGGACGCTGCTGGGAGGTCGGGAGAAAGCAGCATATGAAAGTGGGAGGCGAAATACCTACGAATGTGCGACAGGGTCAGGCAAACAGTTTCCAAAGTGGGAAGGACCATATATGGTCACGTTGAGATGGGATTACGCAGACACAATCCCAATGGTAAACACAGAGAAACAGGTGAACATCCGCAAGCGCCGAGATTCCAGACAACCAGATAAAACAGCAAAGCCCCAAGAACCAAGAAGACCGGACCAACTTCATTCGCAAGTCTTTGATGGGGGGACGAGTGTGGTGAGACCTGGCTTCTAGCCAAAGTTGGTAGACAGTAATTGACGTCAATGTTTATGTCCCCAATATTGGTGGTGAGAAAATGAGTACAAAGGCTTTGTGTAGGCACACACAGTTAGCATATGGATGATCTGACACAGCTACAAAGAGATGCAAGGCTAACTTTCTGTGAGAAACAACCAATCAAAAGACTGTATTTTCTACTAACAATAATCTACAATAATGTACATTAAAATCTATAAATATGTGTTGATTTTCCTTAATAAACGATCTGTTGCCTGACCCTTGTCTCCTGTTGTTACTGTAATAATAATAATAATACCAAACAGTGATAAAAAGAAGACAAAAACTTACAACGGATTCACCACATGAATTTTCTTTATTATCATCCAGGATTTTTTCATCTTTTGATGATGATGTTGACGAGACACGATTGATTTTTTTAGAATTTTCAAATTTTTCAGACTTTTTATTTCCATGTTCATCATCATGTGAATTCGATTGAGATGAGATTGATTTTGATTTTGACAAGAGTTTTCCACTGTCATGACTATTGACAACTTTTATTAATGACTTATCATTGATTACGTCATCATTATCTCCATGACTGTCATCACCATCGTCATGAGAGCAGATCGATTTCGAGTTGATTTTAGGGAGAAAAGATTTACTACTAACTGGATTATCAGTAGTATTAGTAGTAGCAGTAGTATTAAATGAATGTTTACTCGAAGTTGATAGTTTATTTTGCAGATCTTTGACTTTATGTTGATCGAGATCATTGAGATCATAACCATCATCGACAAAAGTCGTTGGACAGGTTGTTGTTGTCCCTGTTGTACTGCTTGTCGACATCGTTGACAGCGGCCGGCGGCGGTGGGGCTTGTGTTGACGACGATTGTAAGTGTGATAGCACAATATGCTTTGGTATTCGTTGACTATAAACATTTTGCAATTCTAACAGTTTAGATTTCTCCTGTGGATTAGAAACAGATGGAGAGAAACAATTTTTATGACTATTATGTTGCGCAATCTACATATATGAGATTTATTAAGACAAAAGCACGGAATATACACATTTGATCATAGGGAATAAGAAGACAGTTGCAGCGAAGAAAATTTTCTTTTCGACGAAGTCATCATCTGGGCTGTACATTCGTGTATTTATATCAAATGGATGGGAAAGTTCCAGAATAATTTCTGGTTAGGGGTCAAATTACTAAAAGTTACACTTAGGAATTAGAATGCCATAATAAACAGGGGGATGGGTGAAACTCAAACAGGGTAGCATAATAACTAAGAAGATTGACATTGTGCGATTGGGGGTTAGAAATGTTGAAATAACAAAATATGCAGGATGTTTGGATAAAAAACTAATGTGATGAATAATTGTTTATACAATCAGGGATTTAATATGTAGAAATAGTAAAATTACAAAATAAACAGGAAGAGTGGATATGAAAATATGGTAGTGTAGACAGGGATTAAGAAAAACTTAAAATAACATGAATAAACATGAAGTTTAGATAAGAAAGGCGATGATATCGTCATTACTAAAAAATTTACCTGTTTATGATGGCCATGGCAGGGACAGGGGTTGGGCGTATTTCTTTTGGATACAAAGAGTGGGTTTGAGTTTTTGGATAGCTAACGCCTCAGCTATGCCCAGATGTCTTGATTTCACTCCCTTTGATAGGTTTGATTGAATCGTGTATATTACTTTGAAGGATTTTTCGATTTCGTCGAAAAGAAAATTTTCTTCGCTGCAACTGTCTTTTTATTCCCTAAGACAAAAGCTTGGTGCATGATGGACACCAAGAGATTCACCATACAAAATAAGACAGTATGTACGATGTCTGGGATGTTCACTGTCGAATGCTGAGAAAATATAGCGGACTTATCAAGGAACTCTACTCAAACTCATGCAGCCACCAAAACAAGAGCCTACAGAGAGTTGTCCTCTGAAGTGATGACAATCAATGGTGTCCGTAAGGGATGACCACCACTGTCCCCATTTCTACTTAATTTCATCAAAGGTGTACTAATAGACCAAAACCCTAGCTGACTCCAGTAACTCAGGAATTGACTTGTAAACACCAGGGAATAATCTTGTTGACTTAGAATATTTGGATAATATAGTACTTCTAGGTGAAGACACTGACAAAATAGAGCATAGTCTTCTGAACAACCTAAGTAGCAGGAATCTTAGAATGTTTGCCATGCGATTTGCTCCTGTCAAATGTAGGATGATGCTACAGGAATGGACTGCAATACAGTGACTCCTAGCTTAAAGAGAGAGAGGGGAGTGAAGTGGCAGAGCGTGTTGACCACTTCACTCATTTGGATGGTAATTTGCATCAACCCCAACAGGTTGATCGCAGATGAAATTTCACAGCGGATACAGAAGGCTCGTTTGGTATACGTCATCTCTGGTTTAGTAGACGTGATATCCAGTTAGCTGGCTATCGATCAAAGGACGTGTGTACTGCTCAGCACAATTTCTCTCCGTCTTCCACTGTCGCTGGCTGTGAGACATGACCATTGAAAGTGGAAGATATGAACAGTCTAACTCTCTTTGATCATACGTGTCTGCCTTCTATCTACCATGTTGGGTGGTATGACAGAGTGAGTAACATTGAGGTTAGGCATCGGTGAGGTGCTAGATAAGGAGAGAAAATCAATTAACTAGGTTATGAAGTTACGTCGTTTGAGATGGTTAGGACATGTGTTACGCGTTCCTATCCTAGCTGCTGCCTACCTCAACGGGAAATGTTAGCTGGCTGACATAGGATCAAGTTGGAAAGAAGCCAGTAGTGGTCAAACCAAAACATGGTGTCATCAGTCAACGAAACCCATAACAGCTAGTTTAAGCCAGCCAGCCAGGTACGGAGGTGTAGACTTCTTGAATGAATGGGATACTCGGGATGGTAAGAATCAATGAAGGCTGGAGACAATTGGTGATATTGTAACAACAGAAGACAAGGGCCAGGCAACAGAACGTTTATTACGGAAAATCAACACGTATTTATCGATTTTGATGTACATTATTGTAGGTTAATGTTAGCAGAAAATACAGTCTGTTGATTGGTTGTTTCTCACAGAAAGTTAACCTTGCATCTCTTGTGGCTGTGCCAGTTCATCTATATGTTAACTGTATCCGCCTGTCCATCTTGACCTTGACCTTAATTACTGTCAACCAATTTGGCTAGCAACCATCTCTCACCACAATATGACTAATATTTGATACATAAACATTGACCTCAATTACTGTCAACCAATTGGCTAGTAGACAGCTCTCACCACAATATGACTGAAAATCGTTTTCAGTGGTGGCTGGCGCAGATGCACTCAGTCTTTATGATTTGTCATACCTAATCGAAGTACTCTGTTGTTCTTATATGTTACTATTTTTTTGTCTCACACTTCTGTCTACTATCTGTCTTTTGGATCTTTCTTTACTCTCTTCTCTTGCTTTGTATGCTACATGGAGTGTGCTGACTCGGACTACTTCACATTTACGCAGAGTTCTATGTTGAAACCAGTCAGTCAGTCATACGCAATTCCGGATAATCAGACCTAGGCAGAAAGTTGTTTTAAGGCCCCTGGATCCTTTGACTTCAAGTTTGACCTACATGACAATCGAGCAGCTAGGTTACTATGGTTTCCCGTAACTAAACAAGGTTCAAACACTATTCAACAATTTCGGTTTCTGGAACCCATGTACACCACAGATTTGGAATAGGGGTGCTCCAGCTCCTCTAGATAGTTAGGCTAGTATGATTACCAAGCAGGTTCATATCATCATCAGACGTTCTCATTAGCTCTTTTACTTTTATGAGGAACATCCACGTAGCATGAAGGAAGTGAACAAAACTTAGTCGATAGAGGCCATGAATACGTGGCCACATAACAGCACTTTCAAGGGGAAGCTCGAAGTCTACTAGGGCATTTAAAAAGGGCATCGTATGTAATCTAATCATGTTTAAGGCAATACTTGATATTTAGTGAACTAAATTCTCTACAGTTTATGCCTATAAAAATTTCAGCTGCTCATTGTTGGCTGACTGACTGTGGGACGAAATCCCTACGGATATAATGAGATATCTTGCAGCCCATCAATTTACGTATAAGGGAAGACAATCAACGTTAGTGATAGATTTTGGTGGAGTTATATCGTTGATCGACAGTCATAAGAATTCATCGTCCACCCTCAGATAGTGACATGAATATCTCGTAATCTGTAATTTCATACTTTGATTTCCGTTGCGGGTCATGGATACGCATCAGCTGGACAAATAAAATAATCCTTGATTTCCAACAGTCCTCTGACTGCCCGTTTGTGGTAAAGTGTACACTGTTGTCAGAAACTGATCGATAAATTCCCACATCAATCAAGAGAATACAGAATGATAATATTCATTGTACATTCTCAAACGTTAAACTCAATCTCATGACTACACAATTAGGCTGTATACAATCCATTGGTGCATGGATCAATAAAATGACATTTAGTATTAGATGCTGAAAACAAGGAGGTGCTGGACAACTGTTTCGTCCTTATTAAGACTTTTCAGAAGTACTCATCCATGACCCAGCCAAAGATTGAACCCAGGACCTTAATGTAACGAGGTGAGACAGTGAACTATTCGTCCATTGGGATGAAATACAACTGCCCTTGAATTCTGACTTCCTTTCTTCAGCAATGTTTACCTCCAACGGCCAGCCCAACTTAGTGAATCTCCTTGGTCTCGAATTCCAATTAGAACTCCTCGTAAATTCATCCCTTAGTCAGTCACTAGCCAGCAGTAAATGGCAGTGATCAAAGGTTTGGCCTTGTATTCTGAGGGTCCTAGGTTCTCTCTGTGATGGGATCGTGAGTACGCACTGATGAAGGGTTCCAAACTAAGGCAAAACAAAAGTCCAATACTATCGTGTTTTCAATGGTTATCTAATCCCGTGATCTAATTTGGAAACAATTAAATCCCTTGAAGGCATCACTTGAAAATGTTATATCGTGGAAAAAAACTTACTCTGATTAGTTTAACAAATTGGTTTAATTATATATGGTGCCATTGTGAAAGAAATGAATTAGAGCAGTTTTAACTACTAGTTTCTATTTAAGTAATATAAACTTTAAGAGAAAATACAAATGTGGAATTCGTTAGTGCATAAAACAGATAGAATCCCGCATAAAACAGTAAACCATCTTTTGTCATGAATCGTGTGATTTATCTTGTGATGGAGTTACCATGTTAATGTATTATTTCTCACGTATATTGTGATTTAATGTGTGATCAATTCATCACCTTAGTCTTTGTAAGATCGCCCACCAATCAGCACAGGTATTTCCAGCCAATAAGGACAATCCATTCTCAGGGCTGTGAACCGACATTATTATGCCAAAGAAAATGTATAAATATGATGTTGTGTTCCCTAATAAATGTACAATACAATATCTTAACAGTCAAAGGCCAGCCTTTGTCTTTTGATATTTTCATGGCTCAGTCAATCAGAAGGCACAGCGGACAAGTAGGCATATTAGCGTACTAGTCGAGTTCATTGGCGTTAATAATAATAATAATAATCTACTTTATTCTAAAACAGACAGTACTTATAATACAGAAAGGAATTCTCAGCATTTGTCACAACACCTTGCATCTGATTTACTCAAAATATAAATAAAATTAAAAATTAAAACAAAATTAATAGGAGGATTTTGTCCGCATTTACGACATAAAGTCAAAATTATTCGAAGCACGAATTGAGATTATTAAATATAATAATAATAATATTAATAATAATAATAGTGAGTTTGTTTCAAACGGTATTGTCGATTCAGTTTGGGAACTTTAGCATGTTATAGATTATTGGGTCTAATGTTCTCTTGATATAGTATAGTGAGGGGAAACACAAAATTAACTGTTATAATACAGCTTAAATTATGTCCACACTTATGAGAAAAAATAAACAAAAACA